GGACTGCACCCGGCATCGCCTCTGGGAGGAGAGCAATCGGCTCTGTGGGTGGGGGGATTCCAGGAGAGCCTCGGCCTGCCCCTCGCCCCCGCGCGCGGCACAGAAGGTGCTGGAAAGCACCGTCCTCTCCCCGCACCCACCCGGGGAAACCAGGCACAGACTATCAACTTCAGCACTGCCAACAGGCCCTGCTAAAAAAAGGAAAAGAGAAAGGGATTCTTGCTTTGTTGTTTGTACCTCGGTGCTGCCTCAAAAGCAGCGAGATTTTTTTTTTTTTTTTTTTTTACCTGGAAACATCGGGCGGTGACAGAGCCTGCAAGGATGGAGCTTCCGTAGCACAATCCCAGCTCTGTTCTGGTTTAAATTGGATTTCCACTGACCTTTCCAAGCCCATCATTCAGCCCCCACACCCAGGGAGCAGCCCCTCTTAGCAAGACTTTCCAGCCCCCCAGCCTGGGAAGGGGGAATGAACCCCCCGAGACTTGGCAGCGTTCCCGGGGAGCCCCCAAATCCCTCCCGGCACCAATCCCGGTGCTCAGGGCCGCTCAGCTGCAGGGCTGCAAAGCTGCTCCAGAGGAAAGCTTCACAAAATCCAAGTTCAAGGCCAACCTTAACCCATGTTTATTAACTTAAGAACATCCCTCTCAGGCTGACAGAGCCCGGGCATCACCTGCCAACTGTCTCATTCACCAGGGGGAAAGCAAAGGCCAGGCCTGCCTCATTAAAAACCATTACATAACATTAAATAACAAAGGGCTACAGGACATTCTTTGCTTGGTGGACACGTAAGAGTGAATGACTCAAAAATTAACGCTCCTTTCCTCCAGACTCACAGTGTCTCCAACACCTCGGGGAGCCCAATCAGCACCTTATTTCCAAGGCAACAGTGTCTCGGCTCATCCCAAATCCTGCTCTCACATCCAACTTATTGCCACAGACACCGAACGAGACACGGCACTGCTCAGAGCGCTGTCCCCACCAGACAGCAGTGGATGTGTTTCTGATCCCTCATGGGAACGGGGAGGTCTCAGCCTGTGGGAACCCTTGCCCAGCCCAAGACCAGCTGTGCTGGACAGGACTCCAGCTCCCCTCACAGCTCAGCTCCTCGGCACATGGGGTTATCAGAGGGCTTGCTTTCACTGACTCTTGGTTTCAAGACACCAAGACCTGCATTTCTTCCGAGTGGGGATGTTTCCTCAGCAGGGAAGGCACATGCCAGCAGGGCACTGCTTGGAAATGCCAGTGCTCCCAACCTCCCAGTGGGAGACAGACTCCATGGGCACTGGGACATCTTCCTGGACACATGGGGGATTCCTGCCCATCCTCTCTGGAACCAGAGGAGCCAATTTAAAGTGTTTATAGAACTAAGTGAACTCTTCTACTCCAAACTCTGGGAGTGGATAAAACCATGGACTTTTTGCTCCGTGTCGCATTTCAGAACACCCCGTTTCAGCTCCCCTAGAGAGCCATTTCCTAAACCACACAGGGCTCCTCGGCTCCGAGCAGAGAGAGAGGAAGACAGAGAGACATCCTGTGTTCTCACACCCACTGCACCAGCCCGGGCTGGGGGGTCACAGCTCTGAGCACTGCGGGTCCAGGGCAGCATGGGTGTGCTGGAACACCTCAGCTCCATGCATGGAATCACACATGGATCCCAGAGCTCATCCCATCCCACCCCCTGCCATGGGCAGGGACACCTTCCACTAGCCCAGGTTGCTCCTTTGATTCAACCTGGCCTTGGGCACTTCCAGGGATCCAGGGGCAGCCACAGCTGCTCTGGGCAACCTGTGCCAGGGCCTGCCCACCCTCACAGGGGAGAATTTCTCCCCCCATACAACACAACCCAAACCTCTCCTCATTCAGTTCGAGGCCATTCCCCTTGTCCTGTCACCACAGTTCCTGATGCATTGGCTGCTGTTTTAAGGCCAGTTCTTAGAAAAAATGCAGCAACGTAACAGGCAAGGGAGGGGCTGCCCACAGGAAGGGCTGCAGGGCTACAGCCTGGGCAGGGATTTAGAACTCCCCAGGAGATGGAGGGAGGGCAGCTGGTGTGAATTAGGGAGCCTGATGCTCCACACTCAGCTGCCCCCGAGGAAAGTCACCTTTACACCTTCCTCACGCCAAACCTGCTGCTCCTCTCCAGCCGCAGAGCTGCCAGCAGGACGCAGAGACAGCCACTGTGGTGAACACCCCAAACCATTCCCAGGCACACAGCTCTTCTGGCAGGAAGACAGGCTGTTTGTTCTCCAGTGGAATCCCAGAGCTGCTGGGACCTCCTTCCCCTCACAGGGCACAGCCAGACCCCAGCAGGGCCGAGGAAGGAGGCTGAGCTCCACAGCTTCTCCCAGCGCCCACAGCCAGCCACGTCTGCCCAGGCAGAGCCCAATGACAGGGCTGTGGGCAGAGCTGCTCCCACAAGCACACCCAGGAGGCTCCTGAGCTGGCACCCACGAGGGAGGAGGGTTTGGCTCCCTGAACTGCAGCTGCAAGTCTCAGGAGTGGCACAGGGCGAACCAGGGCACCGTGTGCTGGTGCCAAACCCCACAGCCCTGCTGAGAGCGGGCAGGGGCTCCTGCACACCCCACACCCCACATCTCAGGGGCTGCTGCTCTCCCGAGGCTCCCTCACCCCTCCCCCTGAGCCTTCCGTGCCTGTCGAGCTGCAGTTCCTGTCTGAGAGCAGAGATAAACAGCTTCCTACCCACACTGGCTCGCACGGGGCCTGGGCCTTGTAGCACCTGGAGGGAACAGCCACAGCCACAGCACAGGAGTGCTGCTCCAGCAGCTCATCCCAGCTCCTCCGAGCTGGGAAAACCACGGGAGAGGGGGGAGTGGGCGGGGGGAAACAGCTCCGGAGCACAGGCAGGCCCGAGTCCAGTAAAGATGTTTATTGGCAGCTGCTCTCAGACACGGTCTCTTCCAGCCCAGTGGGGGCTGGAGGGGGGAAAAAAAATACCGATTGTCCATGAGCACAACCCTCATGTCACTCCCATTGATCCGCTGAGTCACTCCCGTATGAACAGTTTTGACAACACCCGGAGCTGCTCAGGAGCTCGGACACGGAATACAAAACAAGGGGCACCGGCAGAGCAGAGCCCAGCAGCCTGCCCAGCTGCCAGGGCCAACTTCTCCTCCTCCTCCTCCTCTCAGGAGCTGCACCAGGAGCGCCCAGCACACACCTCGCTGCAAGGGAGGTCCATCAGAGGGCCTGGACACAAAGTGTCCCCTGCAAACCACCACCAGCTGCCCCCCCCCGGGTGCGCAGGAGCAGAGCAGGGAGGCAGAGGAACCACGCAGGTGATTTTTAGGGGAGCTACAAGTGATTAAGGCCTCACAGATCTGCCAGCCGACAGGGAGGAGGAGATCAAACCCCCAGGGCAGAGTCACTCCCTCCTTCAGCCCCCCCCAAACTTCACGCCCCCACAAACCTGGGCACAGTGGGGTCAGCCCAGTCTGCAGCGCGGGACCACGACCCCTCCCCAGCGCCCCAGAGGTGCCAAGGGAGCGATAAAACACCGCCCAAACAACGCTCCTATCTGCAGAGCACCAAATTAAAACAAAACCAACAAATCTTTGGCAAGTTCCTCCCAGCAGCCAAGCCTATCCCGCCACGGCGAGGGCTCCCCACGGAGGCCTCCTGCCCTAATTTGCAGCAATTCTTTGTCAGACCACTGGCAAACACCAAAGGTTTGCTCCAATCTGTTACATAAGGCCCAATTTTGAAGCCCCTGTGGTGGCCACGGGGGAGATGGGGGGCACTCTGTGTGCGTGGCAGCCTGGCAGGTGAACTTCCACATCTGCAACCACTTGTTGTGCAGAGGGGAAAACGGACGGATCCGGTTATCGAGGCGGCTTCCAGAGGTTTTAACACACCTTTCCACCCGTGTCCTGGTTACCTCGAGCTGCCTCGGAAAGGGCTAATGTGGCAGCTCCACCAGAGGTTCGTCAAACTTTGGGTTTTAACTTCCAAAACGCACCAAAAACACGGCGAGTCCTGGGAGCGCAAAAGAAAAAGGCACCTTCCTGACCATCCCCACAACTTGCCAGTTGTTCGCTGCCCGGGATCCGAGGCTCGGATTCCCGGCCCAGCTCCCTCCTGCCAGCCAGGGGCAGGAGCCGCGGGGCCTCCCCGGCAGAGCTGCTGCTCCTCCGCAAACCTCAGGGGCGGCCCGGATCGGCTCCTGCCTGCTGGGGGCAGGAGGGGGGAGGGCACTTTTTCCTGTTTCTCACATTCATCCTCAACCCGCGTCGCTGAAGAAAACCAAAAAAAAAAAAAAAGAAAAGAAAAGGAAAAAAAAAATCCGTTTTAAACACCACGTTCGGCACAGGCCCTTCCCCCCCACCCCCCCCCCCCCTCAAATAAACACTTCCCAAACCCCTCTGGAGAGAGAGGAAAAGCCACATACAAAGGAGCCAACATCCTGCAGGCCGGGGCAGGGTGCGGGCCGGGGTGGGGGGGAGGATCCGACCGCATCCCCAGCGCCCCCCGGGCCTTGGGGGGATTCTGGGGGGCCTGAGCCCCTCCCTGGGGAGCCTGAACCCCTCCTGGGGGCCTGAACCCTCTCCTGAGGGCCTTGAACCCCTCCCAGGGGCCACCGAACAGGCACAGCCGGGAGGAGACGGGGCGAGGCGGCCCCGGGCCCTCATCCCCCCGCCCAGAACCCGCCGATCCCCGACCTCAGAACCCCCCCACTCTCGATCCCGCCGGACCCCACACGCCCGCCGCGACCCCCGGGCCCACCCCAGCCCCCTCCTCACCCTCACCACCCCCGAGCCCTCCGTGCCGAGCCGGGGCACCCCCTCAGCGCCCGCGGCCCCCTCGGCACCCCCGGCCCCCTCAGCGCCCGCCGCCCCCCTCCCCTCCCCTCCCCGCGCCCCCAACGCCCCCGCCCGCGGCGCCGCCCGGCGCGGCCCGTCCCCTGCCAGCGCTGCCGGGCCGTGCCGAGCCGCGTCCCCCCCGTCCCTGCCGGTCCCTCCCCGGCGGCGCCCCCGCGGCGTTACCTCGGCGGGTCCCTCAGCGCCGGGCGGCGCCGCTGCCCCGCGGCCGCTCCCCCATGGCGGCGGCGCCCCCGGCCCGGCCCCGCTCTCCGCGCCTCAGCCTGCCCTGCGCCGGCCGCTGCGCCAACGGCGTACGGGAGCGCTGCGCCAACGGCGTAAGGGAGCGCCAACGGCGTAAGGGCCGCGCTAAAGGCGTAAGGGAGCGCTGCGCTAACGGCGCACGGGCTGCGCCAACGGCGTAAAGGGTGTGCCAGTGGCGTGCGGGCCGCGCTGCGTTAACGGCGTAGGGGCTGCGCTAACGGCGTAGAGCGCGCACTGCCCTAACGGCGCGCGGGCTGCGCTAACGGCGCAGAGCCCGCGCTACGCTAACGGCGTAAGGGAGCGCTGCGCAAACGGCGCAGGGTCCCGCGGGGCGCTGGGCGGGCCCCGCCGCTGTGAATGCGGCCCGCGGGCCGGGGGGGGCGGGGGGGGCCGGCGCAGGGCGCGTTCGGGAATCGCGGCGCGGCCTTTGCGGCGGCGGCGGCGCTTTACGGCGGCTCCTCCTCCTCGGCGCGAGCCCCGCGGCGCTGTCGCGACAGGCGACAGGGACCCCGCGCTCTGCTGCTGCTGCTGCTGCTGCACCGCGGGGGGCAGGCTGCGCCGGAGGGACCCGCGCGGGGGACGACACGCTTCGGGATGCGGCCCCAGCGTGGGTTGTCGCGACCGGGATGGCGATAGGGCTGCGGCGGGGGCAGCGGGAGGGGTGGGGTGCAGGGACAGGCCTGAGTGTGTGAACAGCAGAGCAGGGGGGTACAGCTCTCCCGTTTGGGGTACAGCCCCCCCTTTTCGGGGTACAGCCTCTATGCTGGGGTACAACCCCATTTTGGGGTACAGCCTCTTTTTGGGGTACAGCCCCCATTCGGGGGTACCGGCCCTTTTTGGGGTACAACCCCACTCTGCCACAGCCCCCATTTTAGGGCACAGCCCCCACCCCACATCCAGCCCCACTCTGGGCCCTCCAGGGCAGTCTGTGGGGAGGGGGACAGGCTGGGGGTCCCACGGAGGGGCTGCAGCCCCACAGCCCTTCCCGTGGGAGCAGGGGGTGGGGTTTTACAGGGACTGACAGCTGTCTGAGAACATCAGCCCAGGTAAAGCCTCTCCAAGGGAGACAGAGCCCCGGGATTGTGGGATGTGCTGGGCAGGGACACAGGAACCAGGCAGAGACACAGCCCTTGCTGCCACCTCCTAAAGCCTTTCGCTTTCTTTGGTTTTGGAATTATTCCGACCCATCATTTGGCCATAAAAACTCCCTCCCTGCTCTCCCTTGGCAAAAGAAGACGATTGTTTCCTTCTCTTCCCTGTTTGAGGCTCTCAGGGTAACGTTGGAGGGAGAGGACCCCCCTGCTCTCATCTTCTTCGGGGCAGATTCATCCCAAAAGCATTTCCCAGGAATGGGCTGAGTTAGGGTGGGTTTGGGACAGAGTCAGATCTTCATCAGCATCACCCCAGGTACCCGTTTCCAGCTGCTCGAGTGGATTCTTTCCAGGGAAATTCTCTCCCCCCTCAACATTTGGCTGAATGGTTTTCCCCTGTAGGTGTTTCCCTCTACAATCGGGAGAATTCCGAGCTTCCCCACGCGTGAATTCCCGCCGTGGCGCCGCTCAGGGGGCTGGGGAGGGGCTGTGACCCCCTCGTTCTGCCCCCAGAGAGATAAAATCACCCCCCGAAGCGCCCGAGGGTAGAGCCGCGCCCTCCCCTCCCCCTCCGCACCACCCCCACCCCGCGCGATTTCGAGGCGATTTCGAGCACTTGGAGAGCTCACAATTGCGAGAATTGAACCATCCTCTGGAGCAGGAGAGAGAGGAGGAGGGGGGAGAGAAAGAGCTGGTTTTATTTCAGGGCGAATGTGCAGGGTGAACACACGGGGTGCCAAAGGGGACACGACAGCTCGTGCCGCGGGAGTGGGGAGGGAGGAAAGCCAGGGAAGCTGTGTCAGGAAAACATCCCGATCTAAACCCTGCCCCTCCTGCAGCCACGGCACAACTGGGGCTCATTCCCAAGCACACAACACAGAAAAGGAGCCTCTGGAACTGCGCGGGGAGAACGAGCTGCTCCAGGGGCAGGGGGGTCACACCTTCCCACACCTTCCCACACGTTCCCGGGCTTGGGAAGCTGCAGAGGGACAGAAACACAGCGAGAAGCAGACAAAAGGAACAGCCAGGCCCTGGCAGAGTCCCTCACACCTTGACCCTGGGGATCCTGAGCCCTCTGGGAGCTCCTCGGGGTGGGGGGGGGGTTGAGCTTGGCTAAATAATCTCCCCATTCCCACCTTCCTGGCAAATCCTGCCCTGTCCTGAGTGTGGGCAGTCCAAGGATTTGTGGCTCGCAAGGGCCAAGGTCCTGCCCGAGCAGCAGCTGGAGCAGGAGCTTGAAATATGCCTCATGCTCAGATTTCGAGGGCCTGGAGCAGGAATTTAAGGAAAATCCATTTTGTTCCCATGCTCAGGACAGCAGGGCACAGCTGTCAGAGCAGGATGGGCAGGGGGCACCTGGCACAGATCTCCTTTGGAGAGAAGGGACATACTGAGATTGGCAGATGCTGCATCAGCAGCCGTGATGGAAACAGCTCGTTGAGGATTCAAGATCTGCCACGGAGCAGAACTGGGGGTGAAGCCACAAAGTGGTAACTCCTGTACTCCCACCTGCAGTTCTGTGTCCAGCTCTGGGACCCCAGCACAAGAAAGATGTTGGAATGAGCCCAGGGGAGGCCACGGAGATGCTGCCAGGGCTGGAGCCCCTCTGCTCTGGAGCCAGGCTGGGACAGCTGGGGGGGTTCACCTGGAGAAGAGAAGGCTCCAGGGAGACCTGAGAGCCCCTTGCAGGGCCTAAAGGGGCTCCAGGAGAGCTGGAGAGGGACTGGGGACAAGGGATGGAGGGACAGGACACAGGGAA